TCCCTCTTTCTCTCGCTCTCCCTCTCCCTCTCCCACTACCTCTCCGTCTTCCTCTTCCCCCTCTCCCTCTCCATCTCCCTCTCCCTCTTTCTCTCGCTCTCCCTCTCCCTCTCCCACTACCTCTCCGTCTTCCTCTTCCCCCTCTCCCTCTCCATCTCCCTCTCCCTCTTTCTCTCGCTCTCCCTCTCCCTCTCCCACTACCTCTCCGTCTTCCTCTTCCCCCTCTCCCTCTCCATCTCCCTCTCCCTCTTTCTCTCCCTCTCCCTCTCCCTCTCCCACTACCTCTCCGTCTTCCTCTTCCCCCTCTCCCTCTCCATCTCTCTCTACATGCCTATCACACACTCTCTCTCTTTCTCAATCTTCTTTTGCATTGCCTCTACCTCTCCCCCACTTTCTTCTCTCTCTCTCCGCCTCCCTCTCCGCTTCCTCTCCTTCTCCCTCCTGGTCTCCCGCTCCGTCTTCTTCTTTTTCTTCTTCTCCCTGTTCCTGGTATTGTCAATGATATTTCATAGAGAGTTTTCTATGTTTGTGAGTGTTCGTGATTTCTATTAATGGAAAATAATAAATCAATGCGCTCCATTAATTGTCCGTTAAATTACCTGCAATGGGAACACGAACGCTTTATGTTTTAGATGTAATACATACAACACGATTCATTACTCTGATTCGATGAAACTGCATCGCCCGGCAGTGTTTACCGCATCGTGTATCGCCTCTCGCTCGCACGTATCAACTTTTTACAACATGGTTTCTCCTTTTAACGGGGCAATCGCGTCGAACATATATGTTTAGGAATAACGCGATGGTAGCTTCTATGGCGCCATAAGTATACATCTGTGAGAAGAAACTCCTAAATGCCGAGTGCATGCTACCGCAATTAGTGTTATATGGCTCGCGAAGTATGACGACGCATATAATTGGCGGATAGTAAGACAACAATCGTGCGAACCCCACAGATGTCATTATAATAAAATCGTTTCGCTAACCGTAATGATGTCCACGTAATTGTTGTCAGTTATAAACGTCTATCATAAACGAATTCGCTGTTGGCAGATTTCACATTGCGCAGATACCGCGTGAGTGTGATGCATCCACGGCATTGCGAGCGACGCCTATCCCCAAGATGGACGACGGCAGCGAACGTTTGCACGCTCACTCACTCTACTCACACCCAACACCCAGCAACTGATGATGATTGTTGCGTGCATGGACAGGTCGCACCGACCAGAGATACATCACATATGTACATCAGGAGTGAACAGAAACATATTTGTTTTTATTTACTCTTGATATACATGTATACATATACAACTAACGCTAGATTTCCCATTTTATGACCAAATGGTACAACACACGCGCGTACGCGCACACACGAGCGCGCGTATGCACGGACCTACTCACGCACGCACACACGCGCGCGCACACACACTCACACGCACGAGCGCACACGCTAAGTCACTCACGCACCATATACGCACTCACACACATGCATTGATACATAGGCCTTCACTGAAACGTCCAGCTCTCACTATCGCGAATTATCAGCACCAAAAGCTCCCAAATTCCTAAATATGTGCAACATCTAAATAATTAAATCAGTTTCGTGATGAAGCAAATATTTGGGTAATGTATACATTCGTGCAAAGACGTAGTTGCTGTCGGACAGCTCTCTGATTCATTACCGGCATTACAGCCACCTGCTCCTATATTATTTCTAGCGACTGACGCGATGTAAACTAACTCGTTGTAGATCGCAAGTAGGCCTACAATGATCGTGGTCTTTTTCCTTGCGCGTCGAGTGTGACAATCCTAATACAGATTTTAACACGTTTCAAGCAGGAGCGTAAAGAAGTGAACTGAAAACGCAAATTTGTGTCATAACTCGTTCATTTATAAGCCGAGCAGAACGGACAGCGCTGCGACAAAACGGCTAATGAAGAACATTTATAGTTCTTATCGCCATTCTTTTCGACTCCAATAATCGTTCTTAATCGCGTTGTCGTCTAGCGCTAAGCCAGGTAAATGCTTGTGCGTGCACCGCGGGTGCGGGGGTGATCAGTTTATAATAACGATTCATTTGATGACTGCTATTACGGTCATAAAGTTTCATTCGAAAACCCTCGACAATCTTGCGTGTGAATTTTTTGTTGTGCGGTTCCGGGCGAACATCTTTAGATAGTTTTACGGTAAATTCTATTATTATAGATGGTTAGGGAGGTAAAGAGCATAGAAAGCGAATGACGAAGAGGAAATCTAGGAAATGGAAGCCCAATAAAGATGTCAATGACAGAATAAGGGTACAAGGTAACGGGCGCCTTCAAATGGCTCAACAAAGTTTGGAAGACAAAGCGCCATCGTCCTCAAAACTAAATTAAACATTTTCAATTCTAATGCTCAGACCATCTTCATGTATGGCTGTAAAACATGGAAACTAATAGCCAAAATAACTCAAAAAAGTTTTGTTAACAAATACTTGAAAAAGAAGCAGAATATTTTGGCCTCGCACCATCACAAATAAAGAACTCTGGGAGAGAACGAAGCAGTCCCCAGTCGAAACCCAAATAGGAAGAAGGAAATTGGGCTGGGTGGGCCACACACTGCGAAGAAAAGCGACGGACATCACACGCACGGCGCTGAACTGGAACCCACAAGGAAGACGTCGGGTGTGAAGACCCAAAGCAACCAGTCGGCGAGACTCAGAGGCGGAACTTACGAAGAAGGGCTACACCTGCATGGAGGGAAATGGAGCAAAGGCAACCAACCGAGCGACATGGAAGAACTTCACCAATGACCTGTGTCTCCCAGGAGACTGAATGGTCTAAGAAGAAGAAAAAACGTGGAGAATAACGGGAGGCTCTGTACTCCGTGAGGAATATTTGTTAATTAATGATGGCGGAAATCTCAGACGCGACGGATGCTAGCGATACACGCATATATGCATGGTTTCGTTTTAAACTTTTAAACATATCATTGTCTGTCATGAGACGGTATAGTATCGTTCCGCTAATGGTGCCACCTACGGATCGTTTTTAACACGCCGATTTCATTTCTAGAGCATGCACCCGCTCTATCCATTCTTTACCGGCGTATCTTCGTCAAGAAAACGAGTGAGCATTAAAGCGACGGAAGCGCTACTCAAAAACAGCGGACGATTCGTTCACTTTGCTGAACGTTCGATGTTATCTGCACAGAATCTATAGCTCTGACAGAAAATGTGTCAACGGAATTCTCTTGCACTGGAGCGGCGTTTACCTACTCATTATCTGCGTGGACGATGGCGCATGTATGACATTTACAACTTCATTGATTAGTCGCGAAGTGCGCTCAATCGCGAGCGTCCATGTGCGCGTGCGTGTATGCACACGAGCGCGCGTGCATGCGTGCGTGTGCGTGTCTGTGTGTGGGTAGGTGTGTGCGCACATGCGTGCCCGTGCGTGCGTGCGTGCGTGTATGAGGAGTATATATATGTGTGTGTGTGTGTGCGTGCGTGCGTGTGCGTGTGCGTGTGCGTGTGCGTGTGCGTGTGCGTGTGCGTGTGCGTGTGCGTGTGCGTGTGCGTGTGCGTGTGCGTGTGCGTGTGAGTGTGTCGTGTGTCGTGTGGTGTGGTGTGTGTGTGCGTGTGCGTGTGTCGTGTGTGTCGTGTGCGTGTGTCGTGCGTGTACGTTGTAGTCGGTG